TGCTATCTTAAGGAGTATAGATTTTAGTTTCTCAGACGTAGTAATTACAAGTTTAAAAAAGGATTTGCAGTGGTTACAAGCATTTGACACCCGTGTTGGTTTCCACCTTTAAAAGGCTGTTCCAGTTGTGCTTTTCATCACTTTTGTTACTTACATACTCTCTGCTTTTTGGAGGACACTGTCTCAGACTATCACTGGTTCCTGCTGCCACCACATGAGTTTAATCAGGCCCTAGAGGAGCCCTGAGTGTCAGCTGAACTGCCCTTGTGAATGGTGTAGTTCTGTCATGGAGTGTGTTTTTGCTGGGGGGAGTCCAATAGAGTTTTTCAACAGAAACAATTTGCTTCAAAACAAACCTTTGATGAAGAACTGTTCCGAAATGCAGCTGTCAAGTGCCTTTCAGTATGGGTTGCAGGCTTGCTAACAAATACCCTCATGTGGTTTATCTACTCAGGATTTCAATGTAGTCAGTGGAGAAGAAGAGAGAAAAGCTTCCTCTGAATAGTCACCTCAGAACCCTTTTCTAGGTGTTCTCAAATGCTCTGTGCAGTGAGAACATAGGGAAACCAGTCTCGTTGAACTAAAGTTTTGGGGGAGTTGTTTTCGGTTTCTATTTTTACTAGTTTCTGTCCTTGAATTTCTTCTCCCCCAAAGCACAGTGTTTGGGAGGAATATGCAACTCTGTATCTGCCATATTTGTTTGTAATATACTTTGGTTGGCCTTTGGTTTTAATATGTCTAAGACATTGGATTCTACCTTGCCTTTCAATAGCTGTGGCTGGCCTTAGCATCCCTCTGTGTACTGGATCAGGATCATGTTGATAGACTGTCCTCAGGAAGATGGATGGGAAAGGATGGGCAACAGAAACAGATGGTGAGACTAAAACTTGTATGGTTTTATGTTTGTTTTTATTTTACAGTCATCAAAGAATTTAGAATAATCATAGGGAAATATTTATTTAGGCCTCACCTTATTTCTCCCTGTCATTCCCAGTGGAGGTTGTACATCCATGTTTGAAGTATTTGAAATTCCCCAATCCTGTTTTACACCAGGATATTCAAATGTTGAGCTGAACTCTGTGTCTCCCTACCAGAACTGCCCTGAAAGGACTGTTCTAAGTTGCATGAGCAGTATCATGGAAACCACATGTTCTAGGATTACAGTGAAACTTGTTCTCAGACATATGTGTCATCAAAATCAGTGGTTGAACTGTGCAGATATTTTGAATTGCAAAACAGAACCGTGTTGAATTTTTTTTTAATTGTATCAGTAGAGCAACTTAAGCTTCAAAATCCATCATAAAATTGTTACTTCAGCCATATTCCCTCTGAGTTATAGATGACCTACATCTTTGTTTCTATGTTTGAACAAAGTAAACATACCATATCAAGGCAATGAAGGGTAAATATCGTGCCTATTGACTGACCTGAGTGCTCATAGCTCTGAACTTTTCTGTTTACTTGCCCATAACCTCTTGTTAACACATAAATCTCTTGTCACACTAGTTGAAAATGATGTCTCAGCTATATTGTTGGAAAACACATTCTTGTGACATCACACAAAATATGAGCTGAAGAACATTAGAACAACTAATGTCATAAATTGAGGCTTTCTGTGTCCAGGAGTAATTGTTAAATACTGATTAATAGTCAAAACAAGCTCTTTATTCCCCTTTATAAATTGGGGGGGTGGCTGGGGCAGAATAAAAGCAGATGCTGAAAGGAAGTGAGGAACTTAATAAGGGGAGAATTATTTCATATTTTTTCTGCTTTCTCTCAGCCAATGTGTGATAACCATGATGATGGTGAAACTGCTGCAATCATTTTATGTAATGTCTGTGGGAATCTGTGCACAGATTGCGACCGATTCCTTCACCTCCATCGGCGAACAAAAACTCACCAGAGACAGGTAGAGTATACCTGACATCATGTTGTGTGCACTGCGTACGTTGTGTGCCTTTCTCCAGATAATATATATCAGCAAAAGGCAGTAACAAGTATCAAATCTGAAAAGGGTGTTTCCTTTTATTTCGGAGATGGGATAGATAAGTTTCCATTTAATTTGTTTTAGTTAAATTCTCTTGCCCTTTATCTTTGAAGATTAGACAAGCATGTAGCAGTCTCAAATTCTAATTCTATGCTACATCAGCTTTTTTCTCTCTTGTTCTGCCATTGTTTAGGAATGCTTTGTTAGGAGAATCTAGGAGCTGCATAGACTTTCTTAAGTATACATTGGTTCTTTTTTCCATTATATCTCCTTTACTACTTCTGTCATACGAGTCAGTACTTGTCACCCCCTTCATTGTTAATGTGTGTATGTTTGGGTTTTTTTAATATCCAGGAAGACCATTTAACAGCAAATACTCCTACTGGTTCCCAATGTCACTCTTGTCTTATTTTTCAATATCCCTCTGGCTTTCACTGTCTTGGAACAGATAAATGTGTTGTCATATCCATAAACTTGAAAATTTCCTGATTTCGTTTTGGGGTTTAGATCTGAGGTTTTACAAATTTCTGTGTGCTCTCCTAATTAGTGTTCTTTATATTGCTCTTTTATGCTCTTCATCTCTGAACTTGAAACTACATTCTCCTTGGAATTTTATTTTTTCGCATTGAAATTAATGTTGAATATGCCTTCTGAAATTATTGAACATTTCCTCTTTCTTGACACTATTTCTCTTTTTTTTTCTTTTTTTTTTTTGGTCCTTTATTTTCCCCTTTCCCTCTGATGGCTTAGATTTATACAAAGATTAAAATAAAAAATGTCATTCATAAAGTTAGTTCAATTGGAAATTATTTCTCTTCTCCCTCTCCTATAAGGCATATACATTAATTTTTTAGTTACCATCAGGAATGGACTTCTAAAGCAGATATGATCACCTCTCCTTAATGTGATTTGATTTCTGTTATAGTAGAGTAGCCTTGGAGTACATGAACTGGATTCTTTTTGGGTGAAACCAAAACAAAAGATAGCTGCAGGGACACACTGCTTATGGTCCTGCAGTGCAAGGATCAGCTAGTCCAGAGCATGTGGTGTAAACATCAGACCCTTGGTACTGAGTTTCACTCTGCAGTTCCACCCGTCCCTGGTCCCTCAGTATTTGCAGTGTAGTCTCAGCCTGGCAGTTCCGTGTGTATCTGTTATCATCTTCTTAGCCAGAATCTTTGCAATGTCCTTTGAAATTTTCCCGTTTTGTTATCCTAAGAAGATCATTTTATATGTCTACTCTTCTGTCATGGCACAGCACAGTCTAGTCTCATTTATTTTTCTGATTTCTCCTATATAGCCTGTTCAGATTACAGTTGCTAAAAGTAAGTTATTCTCTCATAGAAGTCCTCACATTTCTCCTTTAATCTGTCCAAAATAGCTACTTACCAGATTTCCCTGTTTATTTCTAAAAGCATGTTTAAACTTTTTATTCACCACCTTTACCTTTACATCTCTCATGTTAACCCCTCAGTTTAAATTTTAAGTTCTGTCGTGTTCCCCGTTTTCTGTTTGCTTCCTGTTCTTTGTCCAGTTTCAGTCACACGTACGTCTTTAATGTATTTTCTCTCCCTTCCAGAAAGGACAGCCTCTAAGTTACTACAACCTGATTATGTGAATCCATTGTGAAGCAATTAGGGTTTTTTTTTTTCCAATTCTAACAAGAATTAAAGTTTAAATTAAGTGTATACATCCATACCCAGGAAAATTCTAACTTCTATTGCCTTGCAGGTAAAACAAATGCAAACAGAACTGCCTTCAAAACTTGGGAAAGGAGTGAAAGAAGAGACTCTGTAAAGTTCACTATGGATTTCATGCAGTTTTTTGATTTTGCAGATATTTTACATTTTCTTCATTGTAGCCAAAAGTATGCAATGTGTGTTCATGTGAAAATCAAAAATATTCATATTACATGCTTCTATAAATGTTATTCTGTAGTGCATATTATTAAGACCCCAATTATCAATGTTGCTTTGAAAAACTGCTAGCATGGTTATGTGAAGATAACATTAGAAATACCTTGTGCTTTTATACTGTGGCCTACTTGGCTGAGTTGGATAGGAGTTATGAAGTCCAAGCTCTGTATTTATTAAATTGGACTAAAAAGTGCAGCTCTCTCCTTAGCATTGCTGCACTATTGTTTCCCAGCCGTGCTGCATCAAGAGTTAATTTCTCTTGACTTTGACTTTTAAAAACACACAGCCTTTATTCCTACTGCAATATGTACAAGTTATGGAATGTATAAAAGAAAAGTAGCTTGCAGTAGACAAGCTCCACAGAATCTATAAAACATCTGGTGTAAATCCAAAGAGATAGTGAGAAAAATAACAGAGATAATATTTAGTATCTGGTTAACCTGACAGGTATTCAAAGAAGAAGAAGAAGCTATCAAAGTTGATCTCCACGAGGGCTGTGGTAGGACCAAACTTTTCTGGTTGATGGCATTAGCAGATTCTAAAACTATGAAGGCTATGGTGGAGTTCAGAGAACAGACAGGTAAAACACAACTGTTATTACTTGCTCTTTATGCCGATTATTTTTCCCTTTCAAATAAGCAATCATCCAAAAAAAAAATGGTTGTCATTATGATTTTCACCTGCTTTAGGGCAATGCTTTTACTTGTCAATAAAAACAATATAGTTCAGCTGCATAAGAATTGGTGGATTTTGGTTGTTTTGTGACTGTTGTTCAGATGTCTGTTGGAGTGTCAGTCCCTCATGTTTCCCTAGCACAATTCTGGGCTTTGTTTCCCTAGGCAAACCAACCACCAGCAGCTCGGAAGCGTGTCGCTTCTGCGGGTGTAGGAGTGGAACAGAACTGTCAGCGGTGGGAAGTGTTTGTTCTGATACAGACTGCCAGGTGGGTATGGGCAAATGCCAATGATCATTAATTGAATAAATAGAAGATACTGTAGGATGAAATAGGCTTCTTATTTTGGATAAACCGTGGTCATCCCTGTGGTCCATTTTAAATCAGACCTCTCATATGGAAAGGTTTTAACATTGAATAGTGTCATTCAAATACTTCTGAGTTTGTAAATACCACCAGTCAACCAAAATACTGGGTAGTTTCATTATTATCTTCAAAAGTATCTCAAATTTTCACCACAGCATTGCAATGTAATGTAAAATGCACACTGTCAGCATAAGTCCTAGTGTACTGAAAAGCTTGACAAGACTGGTTTGCCTAACAGCCCATGAATTACGTGAGCATAGAACATTTGAGACTTGGCCAGGTTTGTCAACTGTATCCAGGCATTCTGAGTGTTCTTGTACCCTACAGTACAGGTACAGTTGGCAGAGGGTCAAACCCTAACCAGTTTCTTATCACACTTGATTTATTTCTGTTTATGTGTGGCAAATTGGTCATCTTTTTTTCCTCTCTCAGCCTATTGATTATATTCATGTTTCATCAGTTCAATTCATTGTTAGCTTCTGGGCAACTTTTGTAAGTTTTCTATGTATTAAGGATAGGAATTAGAGAGGCTTAAAATTCCACTTCTATGTGAAAGTGCTTTATGCTGATTAATGAGTAGCTCATAATGTCTCCTTAAGAGTGGGTTACTTGATACCTTTCCTGGCAGACCAGAATCTGCAGGTGTCTTAAAGGCTGTTAATACAGGGCAAGCAATGTTTATGCAGGAGGCACTTAATATGTAAAATGCACGTGAAGGATGAAAGAACAGTTCTCTTTACATTAAAATTTTTACAGTACTTTTTCTTCCTGCCATTTCTATTCAGGAGTAACATAAGTACACAAAGGTAACAGTGTTATCTCATGTACACAACGTGCAGTTTCTCCCAAGTACCTGCTGTAGACAACATGAACCATGTTCCTTTCATCTCAGTTTATTGCACTGACCTTTCAACCCTTCAAACAGTGACACTGTCAAAACACTCAGTGAAGAGGAAGAGATGATTAACTCTTTGCTTTTAATAGGAGTATGCTAAAATTGCCTGCAGCAAGACACACCCCTGTGGTCATCCCTGTGGAGGCGTGAAGAACGAAGAGCACTGTTTGCCATGCTTGCATGGTTGTGATAAGAATGCCACAACTCTTAAACAAGATGCTGATGACATGTGCATGATCTGCTTTACTGAAGCACTATCAGCAGCACCAGCTATCCAGGTTTATATTTATTTTTTTCCCCCTTTGAAGAGATTGCTGTTACTGTTGTAATGTGTAGTGTGGAAGAAGTTAAAATATAAAGTCCTTCACATTATGCTCTTGAACATTTAAAAACAGACACCGTAACAATATTTAATTTACTTAAAAGCTTTGGTATTGTCTGGCATTACTTCTGTTTCAAGAAAGAAGATTGCATCAATTTAGCTTCCTGTGTATACTTTATTAAATTATATGATATTTTATAAAGGAGAAAAACAGTTGAGGTAATTGGTGGATATTCTTCATGTGTATTTCATATATTCACAGGTGGTTTGGGAGTGCTTATGATTTTAATGACCATTTTACATTCTTTCTCTTTGTTAAGAAGAATATGAGGTCTTCTAGGATTTTAAATAAATTAATATTGGAATTGATATATGTTGCCATTTAAAAGCCAATAGCTACTTCTCCTTTAGTGGCTAGGGTGACTTGAGTGTTCACTTACATATATTCTTTCCTACAGCTGGACTGCAGCCACGTTTTCCATTTGCAATGCTGTCAACGAGTACTAGAAAACAGATGGCTTGGGCCAAGGATAACTTTCGGGTTTATGTCCTGTCCTATTTGCAAGGTAAAGGAGCTGTGTGTGCCTGCCTAGGGCAGGTTACCTGGTACTTAGGTCTTTTTTTAAAAAAATTCCTTAATAATATATTGCTTATTACAATAGAAAATAGTGGTATGTGGCTTGTTTCCTTAACTCCACGTGTTGCTATGGAAAGGCTGTCATTGATGCATCTTTTTACCTTCCCCCACTGTTCCCTGAATTGTCCTCTGAAAGAGAAAGCACAATGTGGGCATTGTTACAATGCTGTTTTATTCTTAGCACCATCAGCTTGGCAATTCCCAATATCTGGTGCTGGTGGGGAGAGGAAGAAGTAATCTTAGTGCACATATCTGAAGCAGGAAGCTTGGCTTCTCTGTTTTACTAACCACTTTTAAAGCCACTTTGGTTTTCAGTATGAGGGCAGAGCTGAAGAGTACATGGACTTAGTTCAGCTTAAGTTGCTAACAATTCCTTCTGTACTTTTCAATATTTAAATTGCTGTAAGCAGAAGCAAGTGATAGCTGTGGGGAAGAAGAGCACCATAACACTCTAGGAACATGAAATTTTGGAATGGTCAGCCACTCAGCCGGCTGTGTTTGTCCTGTTGGGCAGCACTGTGGGAATTTATGGCAATAGCTTGTGATCATTAAGTGGTAAAGAGCTGCCATAGGGGACTGTCAGTCATAGTTCTTAATTGCTGAGTACTAAGTCAAAAAGCACCAAAATTACAGAAAACATACAATTATGATATTCTGTGCTGTGGAGAAGATTCACCATCCCTCTGTGACTGTTAGTGTGTTGTAAGGGCTGGTGATTTCATATGACACCAGGCCATAGAAAAAGTTCCCTGGTTCCTGTATTTGCAGCAAATAGAACATATACTATATTAGCCATTTTTTTAAATGTCCACTGGGTGAGCCCTTAGGGTTTTGTGACATCCATCACACTATTTGTGTTTGACCATAGTGCAAATTGTCATAGCTGTTGTGATCAAGATGCACAAGATACTTTAATCGGTATTTTTTTATTTCAGAACAAAATCAATCATACAGTATTAAAGGATTTGCTTGATCCAATCAAAGAACTCTATGAAGATGTAAGGAGAAAAGCACTAATGAGATTGGAGTATGAAGGGTTGCACAAGAGTGAGGCCATCACCACACCAGGTGTTAGATTTTACAATGACCCAGCTGGCTATGCCATGAACAGATATGCTTATTATGTTTGCTACAAGTGCAAAAAGGTACGGCAATTAGTTATCAAATGTACGTTACAGTTTCAAAAGTAATTTCTTAGAACAGAACATGTGTTAAATATATTGTCCATGGAGTAGAAAAGCAGGAAAAAAAGTTGTTCACAGAATCATAATTTGAGGCCACACCTTGAGTCCTGTGTGCAGTTCTGGGCCCCTCAGTTCAGGAGGGATATTGAGGATTGAAGTGCTGGAACGGGTCCAGAGAAGAGTAACGAGGCTGGTGAAGGGACTCGAGCACAAGTGCCATGAGGAGAGGCTGAGGCAGCTGGGGTTGTTTAGCCTGGAGAAGAGGAGGCTCAGGGAAGACCTTATCACCCTCTACAACTACCTGAAAGGAGGTTGGAGTCAGGTGGGGGTTGGTCTCTTCTCACAGGCAACCAGCACTGGGACAAGAGGGCACAGACTCAAGCTCTGACAGGGCAGGGTTAGGTTGGATATGATATTTTTTACGGAGAGAGTAATCAGACATTGGAATGAGCTGCCCACGGAGGTGGTGGATTCACCATCTCTGGAGGTTTTCAAGCTGAGACTGGATGTGGCACTTAGTGCCATGGTCTAGTAATGACAGTAGGATTGGACTCGATAATCTTTGAGGTCTTTTCCAACCTGGTTGATTCTATGATTCTATGATAATTTAAAAAAAACCAACGTGTTGAGCAAATTAGATGTACATAGAATCTTAGCTTGTAAAGTTGAAATGTATATTCAGAGCAGCTCAGGAACCAAAAGCACATTGAGGTAATAGCTGCCTCACAGGAATGTGCAGGTGATCCTGTGTTAGAACACCAACCATCCCTTTGTCCCACCTCCAAGTCATACTTCACATTAAACTAGTATAAACATAGGTTTCATTCTGACTCTGTGATATGGAGGGTTAAACCAGTTGTCTCTGGTTTAATGTCCAATTATTTCTCTATACAATTAAGGCATATTTTGGTGGCGAAGCTCGTTGTGATGCTGAGGCTGGACAAGGAGATGACTATGATCCAAGAGAGCTTATTTGTGGTGCATGCTCTGATGTTTCAAGGGCTCAGGTGAGTAAAGAACTTTTATTTGTGTTTTTGTTTCATTCTGAAGCTCTGACTACCTACACAGAAATTAGCTGTTCAGATTGTTGGATCATGAGTACTTCATTTATTGGTGTTTGCTTTCCTTTGTCCAGATGTGTCCCAAACACGGTACAGATTTCTTGGAGTACAAATGCCGCTACTGCTGTTCAGTTGCTGTTTTTTTCTGTTTCGGGACAACGCATTTTTGCAATGCTTGCCATGATGATTTCCAAAGAATGACAAGCATCCCTAAGGAAGAGCTCCCACACTGTCCTGCAGGTAGGGCTTTTCCAAAGCAAACTTACCGCACTGAATTTGGAGATGAGTATCTAGTTTTAATTGATATTCTTATCTTGTCTTGCTGATAATTTTATTTTTTTTTTTAGGAAAACCACAAGGTCAGTCATACAAATTTTAAGTTCAGTATCTTGAATGATACTGGAATGGGTTTGTTCTCTGCATGCTTTTGGTTATTTTTTTTATGTCATTGCACTGATCCTTTAAACACTGGATACTTTGGTACAGAAGGACATTTCAATTTCTACACCAATTCAGACTCCAGATGTGGAACGATGTGTAAAAGTTATATTGATAAAATTAACAGGCTATTAAATGATGTATCTGTACTGGGGCAGCTGTTGTGTGCAAACTGATACCCCAGTGCCTTAGTTTCGAGCTTCACACGCTGTTGATTTGATCTTGGCAAATTATGGTTTGCCATTTACCTTTCTGTTGAAAAAAGTGAGGTCTTTCTCTTAAGATATTGACATGAAATAAGTGACCCAAAAGAAATTACAATTCCTGGTATAACCTTAGAATTATTGTTTATTGCAGAGTGTAACTCTTGTTCATATTTCTCAATTTCTCTTAGATTGTGTGAATTTCTTCCACAGTGTTAATGAGAATTTACTTTAGTGATTCTCTCTCTATAAGCTTTTTGCCTTTTTACTTTGACTTTGATTGTTTTCAGTTATATGGTAGTGTGATTTTTTTTCCTCTTCTTCAAATAGAAATTCAGCATTTCAAATAACTCTTTTAAGGAGCTAACAGTTTTTGATCATGTTTTTTAGATCTAATTGACTTTTTTTCTTGGTCTCTTAAGCCAAGACTTCATACTTGAAATAGACTGTGTCCATGCACCTTTCTAGCTGCTATTTCTTAAACCATCATTTTTGATGCCTTACAAATTCATATTACAGATGTGTTACCTTCACTTAGCATGGGAGGTTTTTGAGGAAACGTAATATATGTTTGTTTACATCGTCTGCAAGCATTAATCTTTTTTTCTTTTTTTTTTTTTTTCCCCTCACCCTTAAATTCACTGTAGGTCCCAAAGGTAAACAACTTGAAGGAACAGAATGTCCACTTCATGTTGTCCATCCACCCACTGGTGAAGAATTTGCTCTGGGTTGTGGGGTTTGCAGAAATGCTCACACTTTTTAGACTAGCATTTTTTTTTACCAGAGCAAAACAGGTGCCCTCATCCCTCAAGTGTCCTGAAAGCTAAGTCCAGTTGGGATGAGGATGGGACCATTTCATAACCCAGGTAAAAGGAACAATTTACAGTGCAAGAAGGATGCCAAATACCATGTACATAATTCTTGCTGTGAGATATTGACATTTTTTGAACTGAGACATCAAAATTTGTGAGGTGTTTGCATGTGGCCATTACAGTCATCGGCTAGGAAACATTGGACATTTACAAATAAACAATTGCTATTAAAGGATCTGTGTGTCTGTGGACTAAGAATGATGCTGGCTTTCAGGAGAAAGAAAAAATATTGATTATTGTATACTGACTTTTTGTAATCTTGTACAATTGTAACGCATCACAAGTGGGGATGGGAAAGAGGAATATTCTGGTTTATTTCCTAGACTGTTATAAAAAAAAAATGTGTTAGGAAGGCATAAATGTAACAAGTATCACGCTGTATATAAAGGTATCAATGTTTGTCCTGTATAAGAATTATTAAATTACAACAGCAGTTTCATTTAAACTTCTGGGTTATGTTTGAGCCTGAAATGTTAATGAAGTGCAATACTGAGTGTGCCTCATATCTTGCAGCTGTAAACATAATGGAATGTACATGTCAATAAAGCCACTGTACCTTTTTATACAGTGAAAGTCTAATGAACGTGTGAGCCTCCATTTTGAGAAATGCTCCTTCAAAACGGGGCAGAGGAGGGGGGAGGTCTCTTCTGATTGCTTCAGCAGACTTTTAAAAAGTAGGAAAGTTTATTGGGTAAACTGGTGGTTATGGAAGTACTTAAGCCATAGAAAGCAGGGCTCGTTTTTTTTAACAGAAAAGCTGGATAAATGTGCTGGCATTCATGCAAAGAATTGTATTTCCATTTCGATTACCAACAGTGTTTTAAAACATAAAAGAAGACTGCATTTTAAGTTATTTTTGATCAGTTATGTTTTACTGAAGGCACTTAATCACTCCCACTTTTAGGTGCTATGAATCCCAAAGTGTTCCTTTAATAGTGTCCCAAGTCCTCTCTCTGCACCTGCATAGTGAAAGCAAAATATAACTTCAAGTAAAAATTTTTTTCTATTAAATTTTCTCTTCATATTTTCTGTCTTAGTTATGTTCAACTCCTTTTGTAATATTTCTGTCTTGAGGTTGTTAAAATACACATTACTGGCTTATACACTTAAGATACTGGTAGATGGCAAATGTCAGATGACCTTGTCAGACTGGTACCGTGGGATTCATCTCACCTAACTTCAGGCATCTGAAATCACAGAATCACAGGCTGGGGTTGGAAGGGACTTCTGAAGGTCATCTAGTCCAACCCCCTGCTAAAGCAGCTTCACCTAGAGCAGCATGTGTATGTCTGTAATTTAAAACAGTTCTCAATAGTTCACACACATCTGAAGTACAATTTCTCTTATTCACAGTAGTGGCACAGTAGCTCTACCAAGGGATCAGGACCAGCTGGATCGATGGGCCGAGGCCAGTTGTATGAGGTTCAACAAGTCCTGCACTTGGCTCACAACAACCTCATGCAGCATTGCAGGCTCAGGGAAGAGTGGCTGTAAAAATGCCCATTGGAAAAGGACCTGGGAGTGCTGGTCAAGAGCTGGCTGAACATGAGCCATCAGTGTGCCCAGGTGGCCAAGAAGGCCAATGGCATCCTGGCCTGTATCAGAAATAGTGTGGCCAGTGGGACCAGGGCAGGGACCATCCCTATATTGGATGTCTGGCCCACTGTCCTTTTCAGAAAATTTCTGAGTGTAGACCATAATTAAAAATAATATTTTTTAATTTTTCAACCTTCTCTTTCATTTTAGATTAATGAGTATTAATTTAGGAAGCTGAGATTACAGTGTGGAAAGGACATGACACTGCTGCATTCAGTTTATTAAGTGGATGGAGTGAGGGTTAGGCAGTGTTGGGGAAATGTTTCTCTTGCACACAAGTGCCCATTCCTGATTACTGTTCCAAGGAGGTGGCACTGGCACGTGTGAGCATGAGGCTCTTGGGCAGAGCTCAGCTCCCCCACGTTGAACCTCAGACACTGCTCCTACGCTGTCTCAGACATTCACGTCACCACATCTCCCCCCACACTGCTCTCTGCCACTGATTATAGCCAGATGCCAGCACAGGCCACTAATCAGATCAGTCCACAATGAGATTGCTGTATGCCTTTCTAGCAGTCTCATGTGCTTTTCTGTCAGCTGTTCAGCTACAGCCCACACAACAATAACTCAGTTCTTGTTTGCACCACCCTGTTTGCAGCTCACCACCCTCAGCCAATTTATACCAAACTCAGCTCCTGGGCAAGGCGAGGCCTCAGTACTCCCACTTAAATCATTAGTTTACAAGTAGCTTAAACTTTCACGTGTGCATCCACCCACTGAGCACAAACTGAACAGTAAAGTTAATAAGGCACAGCTAATTAACATGTCACTATCAGGGCCTAATAAGCTTGGTCCTTACAAAACAGGTTTTGTTATTCACATCATACTAAGTTCATTGTTCCCCTAAACAGTGGCTAGCTAGGGAGCTTTGGGTCATATGGGGTATAACTCAACTTTGCAGGGCTTTGTCGCAGCCATCGTTAACCCATGTTACATTGCAGGTAACAGTGCAGTGGTTGGTACTGCAGGTGCCATTCCCTCAGCCCAAGGTGTACTGGAAGGGCTGCACTGTCACATCCCTGGCCTCACTGCTGGGGTGTAGGTAGTGATGAACTTGTGCTGCTAAGCGTTGCAGATGACAGGCTCCTCACCAGGGATACCTGCAGAGATGCTGCTGAATACAGAGCAACAAAGTGATTACACAGCAGTCAGCTGCTAAAGGGGATTAGGACTCATTGATAATCACCCAAAGATGTCCCCTGCCAGCTAGCCAGTGAGTTTTCTCAGGTAATAGCCAGCTCAGCAGTCTGTGGGGATTGAGGAAGCACCTGAGGTGGTGCTCTGTGCTCTTGCCACAAGGCTTCATGCAGGCTGTCAGCTGATAGTTGAAATACAACTAGTTTTGCTCCTTCTGCTAGGATACAAGAGTTAGAAACAGGGTCCTGGACCCATATTTGAAAACCAGCACTAGGATGTCTGTGCAGGATCAATTTCACGTGCCATATAAGGTACCCTCCTCCCCTGCCTTGGTACCCAGGCCAATCCTTACACAAATGGCAGCTCATTCTTAGCAATAAGTCTGTGTGGGACTTTTTACCACTGCTAGCTTGTTAATCATGTTGACTCGTCATCCACTGACAGAGACAGTCAAACTGATTTGCAGGGAGACCCACAGAACATGGAGAAAGTTCCTGTAAACCAAAAAACTTGTCTACCAGGATATTGTCAGTTCAACACAGCAATGAGCTGGCACTGCCCCTTTCCAGCAGTATTGTTCTCCTGTCAGCTGGTGATCCATGGTCCACGCCACGGAAAAGATCAGGTGTTGCCTGTGCTGCTGTTTGCACAGCTCAGCACACTCAGCCTGTTTGTATGGAACTCCTGGCCAAAGCCATGCCATGATCCTCCTGGATCAGGGATGCTGCAGCAAATGGCCATTTTTACTTTGTTACCTGACCAAAGATAGCAGATACGAAAATAATAGCTTTGACTAGTGAAGCAACCACATGAGCCATTCTTCTGGGAAGAGTTAGTACAGTCTCTAAAGACACAAATAATATTTAGACAGTGAGTTTTGAGGAACCTTTTAAAACAATTATCTCCAGGTTTTACAGAAGCATGAATGACATCAAATAATCAGCCTGTTGCAGGCAATGCTCTGTCACTCATCCTTAGTTTTACCTTTTTCATTTCCTGTGCCCATGAGGCCTTAAATCGAGACCCTCTAGTTTAAGGTCCATTTACCTTGTGGCTACTTTTTGAAAAAATAGGTGAGTTACAGCTCCTGTTCTAGAAGGTCTTGTTTGTGATAGTTAATATACACTTATCAGTCCATAATACCAAATTCTAACAGTGTAAGAACTTCCTCTCCCTAGAAAATCTTCCTGTATAGACATATTAAGATAATCAAAACAGGAAATTTCCCTAATGATATCTATTGCTGAAAAACAAACACTTCTTTTGGCATTATTAAACAAGTTCTGTTTTCCTCTGTTTTTCTGTTTTCAGCACAATCTGCTGCGGATTAAGATTGTCACAGGCATTCTAGAATGGATCCTTCAGACACGAACTCATTACACTACTCTCCCCCTATTTTTCACAGCTTGTATTTTCATTAAATCAGAGTGGCCTCATGCCCTGCAGCCTCATATACTTTCATCACAGCTGGATCTGGTCTATTTTATTGTTACTTAACTCTCTTCCAACTGCTTCTATGATTTTCCCCACTACATTTTTATCCTAGCCTGATGTAAGCCAGGCTTATCAGGGTGGAGCACAGCTGTTTGCTGCAGAGCTACTTGAATATAGCTGGAAAATCAGCACAGATGAGACTTTTGGTGCTAAAAGCTGTAGGATTTACAATCACAACCTGGCATTTGCAACACTTCATCAGGCAGCTACTCCGTCAGCTGACATAGGAAGAGCTGTACCTGTATGACCTCAGCCTGATGTGGTCAGACCTCCTGTTAGACACTGGGCTGTTCCTGGTTGTCCATCCTCTTGGCTTCTATGGAAGGGTGTCTGTGGGCTGTTCCTCGTCTTCACATGACCATAGTGAGGGCTGCTTCAAACCTCTGCCATAAATGAGTCACTCTCACACCAGAGAGACTGGAACTTCAGAGAGCTCCTCCTCCTGTTTTGGAAAAGTAAAAAATTACAAGGCAGTTTCCTCAATAGTCTCATTTCTGCATGCCAGGGCTCAGCACAGGCCCTGGACTTTTTCTGGTACTACTGAACATGTACACAAAAATAATTTCACCTCTATCATTTAAAATACTCCTCTCTCAAAAACTCATCTGCTGTTAGTCAAGTGATTAGTAAGGCAGAGAAACGCCCAAATAAACCTCTTAAAGCTGTTCAAGTTACTGATTAAAGCTCAAGGTGCCTGGCCCCAGCTGGCAACAACAGCTTCACAGACCAGCCCAGGCCTCTGAATGTTGTCTTTGGACCTTTGCTACTTGGACCTTCCTTACCCTGCTGCCACTTGTCTCAGCACCAGCTGCCTGAGTGCAAGAGCTCTACAAGCAGCAGGGCCAGAGCCAGCCACGGGGGGAGAGACGGCCCACACCACCAGCTGACCACAGGTTTTCTCTGTTCAGTTCTGGTGAACTCCCCAGTCCTCATGCTTAGCCAACAGACACCACAGACATTTCTGTCAGTGCTCTGCACCATGTCCAGGGCCTGATTTGGCCACAAGGACAGAGCTGCAGGTGCCTTTCTTGCTGACTTTGGCTGCTATGTTCCCAAAGGGTGTGATGTAGAGAGATCTTTCTGCACTTTTTCTCTCTTCCTACACTTAGGGTGCCTAAAACATACACAAGCAGTTACAACAAAGCAAGTAAGGACACAGGCATTAGTGCAAACTTTGTTTGCTCCAAAGATAAGGCAGCAAATTTTAACTGTAAGGCACTCTTAAGTCCCTCCCAGTAATTCAAAACATCAAAACTCAAATAACACAGTAGGGGTTTTAAAATAATGTTACCTCATTACTTATGAGACTTCTACACAGAACATTTTGGGGGGTCACAAGATGTTCCATCATTTTTCTGCAGACATTAGAATTTGATCAGTGCATTAACTGATGAAAATCTATTTCTAC